ACCTGTCTTTGCATAGTCTGCAACACTATCTTTCAATGTTTTTCTTCGACAGTAAAAAAAAGGAGAAAAGTATGACAACACTGTTAAAAAAAAGAAGATTTTTTTCCACTTTAAACTGACAGAGAACTAACCGATGTAGCTTTTGATGTTGTCAAACGAAGCCTTATCAATCACAGCGGAGAAAAATATATCGCCATCGCGGACCTGCAAGCAAGCGAAACCATCGAGAACACTAGCAAACAGACGATGCCTATTCTCACATCGCCAAGCTTGATTTTGCCATGAATATCCTTAATCTTTCGGAAGATCTCATCCCATCGGCTCTTGGGCACATACAATCGAGAGCATGCAGAGCATTTCTGACCACCATATTCCCAAGCAGAACGAACGGTGCCTGAAATAAGTTTCCATTATATTAATTTTAAATTCATCAAGTATGATTTGTCGAAAACCACACCTGCGGCAACTACATCAGCATTTGCAGATGGATGCACAAAGTGGAAATTTTTACCGCCACATTCTGCAAAAATACATAGAATATCATGAAATTACGTGCGATATTGCTTAACAGCTGAAGCTTACCTCCAATCAATTTTGGGAAAGTGACATACTTATCGAGATTATTGGCAACATTCTGCCAAACTTTTTTGAAGGTAGGAACTGATCCAGTGAAGTTTATGGCACTAAAGTTTGAAGACAATATTGCTTCTATGGTGACATTTGAAACAAATGATAACAATTACTCACGCGAAGTGTGGGCTACTTGTGATCGTATCCCCAAATACGGCCCCGGATGACGGTAAGTAAGAAATAACTCCTTGAGGAATACCTTAAAATTAGCAAAATAAGTCAGTCTCGAAGAATCCCAATGAAAAAAACCATGAAAACAAACCTGCTTCTTCTAGAAGCTTGTGTACAAAGTAGTTACTAAGAACGGCAGTGTTAGAAGGTTTCCACATAACAACGTTTCCCTGAACAAAATCTTTACAGCTTAGAGCTAGGGAGAGATCCACAGCTTGATTAAAAAAAGACCTAGCCATACCATAAGAGCTGGTGCAGAAGGTAGATTACCACCAATGGCGGTGAAGTTAA